ATTCACTTCTTGGCCCAGCTAGAGGGTCTGGCGTAGCTTCCCATGCTGTTGCTCATTGCTGTCCACTCACCAGGACGTCCCCAAGTCGTTGCCAACCGAGAGCAGTCCACCTTAGCACAGAGCAACGCAGGCCTGACAACCTGAGTGCAAAGCACCGAGGAGGCCACAAGAGGTAAATGATCCCAGCTTTGGTACAGGGGTGGGGGAGGCAGATGCTGGTTAAAAGACTGGTCTAATTACCCCAAGAGCACATGTGCTTATGTTCTGAAGGCCCGGCACACGCTCCACAGACTTGGACTGCGCCCTTAGCCCACGGCTAAGAGTCCCATCCGAGTGGACGCTGTCCCGAGAACCGGTGATGAGCACACGGCGCTCCACGCTGCACCACGGCTACATGCAAGCCCCTCGCTCTCTCCGTGAAGCTCGAGACAGAGATCTAGCTTCTCCGAGACATCTTCCTCCCTACAGGCCCACTGCCACCCACACTCCCCAGCGTTCACCAAGAGCCCGGGCACGGGGAGCTGGGACAGTCAGGGCACCGTGTGGGTGCAGGTCATCATTCAGCCTTCCAGGGGCTGCGCGACCTCCACGGACCCCTGGGCTTTGTCCTGTAACACGCGTTATGTGCGCCTGCACTGCTGGGGCCCTTGTATGCTTGACGACAGGTGAAAATGCACCAGCGGGCTGCCGCTGGCCAGATCTATCATAAGTTGAAGGATCCAAATAAGCACGGAGAGTAATGCATAGTAACCTGTTGAACTAAAAGGGACCCGTGAATTTAGGTCCACAAACAAAACGAACACACACTCGGGAAGGGAACTTCTTCCTCCTCTACACACACTTTCCTTCCAGGGCAGATGGAGACACACGGACTGGAGAGTAGAAGACGCCACCTCTGACCAGAGTCAGCCTTGCCAGCAACAGGACAAAGGGACTCCCTGGGCCTCCCAGTGCAAACTCTGGATGGAGGAGGCCACAGTGTCACTCCTGTAGTATTCCTGCCCAAAACACAAAACTCAAGTCTCATCGTGAGGGGAGATCAAACAAACTAGAGTCTCTATGAAGTGTCTTCCAAAGTGTCAGCGTCATGAAGACTGAGAGAGAATTGGTTCCAAGTCAATGGCATCAAAGCGATGAAGACAACTCAACTTAACGCAGGATTCTAAACCGGATCTTGGACCGGAAAAAAACCTTTTTTTTTATCTTACTATAAAGGACATTTTGGCACAACTGGTATCATTTGGATGAAGTCCACAGATTACATAACGGTACTGCAACATTGTTAATTTCCTGATTTTGAGAACTACACTGTGGTTATGTGAGAGGCCACTTTCATTAGTAGGAAATACACACGATGCACTGAAGAGTAAGAGGGCATCACACCTGCCACTTACTCTCAAACCGGGCAGAAAACAACGCGCACACGGGTAGAAAGAGGGAGAACATTAAAGCCAATGTGGCAACATGGGAACAGTGGGGAACTTAGGTGGCGGACGGAAGGGGGTTCTTCGTACCATTCTTGCAACTTTCACGTGAAGTCTGCAGTTATTTCAAAACAAAAAAGTCACAAAAATACACCAGACTTGGAGCAGTCAAACTGACCAGGCAGAGGGGGGGCACACAGGCCACTCTGCCCTGGCAGGGTCGTGCGGGGGCAGTGACATGGAGTCACAAGAGAGAAAGGGAACATGCACCGGGACTTTGCGCTCACCTGTGCCTCTCTCACCTCCTCCAAGGGTTCAGACTGCACAGCTCCGTGGCACAGGCTTCCCCACTGCCCTTAAGTGGACTGAACACATGACAACTACAGGACACCTTCCTCTATTGCTCTAACTGAAAAAACGGGAAAATATCCTGTCAGGCTTCGCAAGGCTCATGGCAGTAAAAGACCAACACTTTAGAAAAGGCACTGTAACAGTATTAAGCACATAAAGACACTACGTATTTAAAATGCTAACATCCATTAAAAAGCAACTGTCGTAAAGCAAGGCAACGGCGTGTACCACTCACCGAAGAAGTAACTCCTCCCAGCCCCCCCACCCCCACCCCGTGAGCCAGCGGGTGACGTGAATGCATTACTTCCCGCTACAGCCTCCCATTTCCTCCCCAGATTCCCACCCCCACTATTCAACAACAGACCGTCCATCAATGTGGCTGCAGGCTAGGGATTATTTTTAACCTAACAACTACCAAGACAGGCATCTGGAGCTTTGGGGGGGGGGGGGTCACCGTGTCACCATCCAGGGTCTGGTGTTTTGAACTGGTTCTTCATTTAAATCTGGAGAATGTATTTGCCTCTGTTTTAGAAAAATCAGGTTATAACCTACAGTCTGTCCCTAGGCCTCCCCCGATATCCCAGCCTACTTAGAAAGCTAGAGTCCCTTAAATGATCAGTGACTGCATTTTCCCAGTGGTTGACTTTTTTAAAGGGATGCAAAACAAGGTTCACAACCAGAAAACCATGTGATAGTGCAATGAAACTAACGGACATTTATTTCGCCAAAAGCACTGAGAACAAACAGGTTACATCTCATTTGAATAAACAGAGATGGCCATCTTAAATATCCTCTGAAACACTGGACTGTGACAGAACCTGGGAGAAAAGGAGGAGAGGAAGGATATAACCTGCTAGACACCGTTCCCTCACCTCCAAGGGACAGGCAAGGTGATGGCAACAACACAACGGCCTGTGACCCAAATGCATGTGACTTGGGACTATCCACCTCGAAGGCCTATGTGAGGATGGCCGTGGGCTTGGCTGTGCGCCAACCCTCATGCCACACTTGGCCCGTGTCTTAGCGCTGACCACACAGGCCACCACGGTGTGTGCATGGTGCATCAACCAGGTCCATCCGGGGGACGCCTTGTAGAGTCACTGATACTCCGTGTGAGTTTAAAGAGAAACTTGCACACAATATCCTTATAAGACACCTGGCTGTGTGGCCAAAGGCTCTGATCCAGTCCCTGAGAATGGAGCTGTGTGGGCTCATGTTGGTGTCCAGAGCTTCTGGACTCTGAAGGCAACAGAGCCCAATGGCCTCACGTCTCTTGGGCAGCCCCAACAAGTCAGATCTGGCCTAAGGACATCTATAAACCCCTTCAAGGTGGGGGAAGAAGGCAGGCCCAGCACAGTGGTCACTTCGCTGCTTAGGCTAACCCAAGAGGCCACTATATCATCTTTTCCCGCTGAATTATGGACATGTCCCCCAGAATCAGCCTGCCCTCTTCAATCGCGGTCAGCCTCCCCACCCCAACGTGAGGTCCTCATCATGAATGCACTGGGGTCCTGATTCTGCCCAATCCCTCCTGGTCCACCGGGAGGGCCGAGTCCAGTCACACACAGGAACACCAAAATGCCTTCAGGGAAACCAAGGCAAAGCAGCTGGGGGTGCTGGGAGGAGGAGAATAATTTTAGTGGCAAATTACAAACCAATCAACCTTGCAAAAACAATGACCACTTCAGAGCTAGGCTGTGAAGGAATTTATACGCTGTAACCATCAGATGTAGGATGCTCGGTACCCTTGCCAGCTAAAGACAGCCACGTAAGAAACTCCTGAACTCATTCATCAGTGTGACATTTCTCATTTAATAAGAGAATCATACTAAAGCCCATTTCCCATCAAACACAACCACACACACCCACAGGAATGTACGAAGGGGATCCAGAGTAAGTTTTCAGAGCATCCCTGGCTTCCGTACCAATGACTCTATACTGAAGAAATTAATGAAAGACCCTCTGAAAATAGGAGGATGTCTCCATGTGCCTAAAAAAAGTTTGAAAAGCATCGTATGGACGGGAAAACAAGAATGACTAAAAGCAATTAACAGGTAACATCTACTTAGCAACAGCTAGCTACCAAAGAGGCCAACGATGAAAGACGGACAGAAGTACTGGGGTATTCTAAGCATGACCTCTCCTTCCAGAAAAAAAGATAGGAAAAAAAAAAAATCTCGAAGAGATACTTCTATGAAGTGTAACGTTCAGAAGCCATAATATTCAGAAAGAAAGAAAAAAAAGGAGCCAGAAGACAAGACACCATAAGAAAGGATGGTAGTATCAATTGTAACATTTTCTACAAAATAAGATGTGTCTTCTTTTTAGATAAATCCACAAGAAATATCTTCATACTTGGTTGTTTGAAAAAAATGTCAACAAGCCAAAATTTCATTATAGGACACATCTGCTCATGTACCCTGTGCAGAAGTACTCGCCTACACTCCTAACAGCCCTAACTCCCGGACTGAAAGCTTACTTACGCATTTAAAAATGTCGTCCATGGGCTAAAGGCGTCCAAATGGTTATATCTGTTGCCACTGGGCAAAACAAACAAAACGTACACTGTGTCTACAGAAGAAGATGTAGGGAAGTTCTGTTTTGTTTTGCTTTTTAATCCACAGCACACCTCAGAATTTCAGTGGCAGTCAATTCAAGGTATAAAATGGTTAGACCCCAGATCACAGACCACTGACTGATGGCCTCCTAATACATTTCTGTAAATGGACACTCGAGGATAGCAATGCGGACTGAAAGGGCAATGGTTGTCCTGCTCTGTCACATTACAGGGGTGACATTCTATGACTCTCACTGGCATCATTCCTTTTGGCTGAGTAAAGATGCAAGTTCTCCTACTTTTTTAACTTTGACCCAAACGACCCAGAGGGAATGAAGAAACACTCTATACAGACTGGAAACCATATTGCTATTTATGTGGGAATATTTCAAAGCCTATTGATAATTCCTTTGTTAGCACGGATGTGTTCAAGTCCGTGCTCATGAAATCCCTTTGCCACCTTGTACTGTATTTCATTACCATCACTTAAAAAATTCATCCACAAAACGTTTTAAAATGGGAAACGGGAAAGGAGAAACCCTGGTAGGTAAGACATAAGTGATACCTCACATTTCCAGAATAAGTACAGAATTATGACTGGTCGCCTTAAAAAAAACTTGTGGGGAGGGGGAGGGTGTAGGGAGAAGGGGTAAATAAAACATCATTACCCTCCTTGGGTAATATGCATTAAATTCGTCTCCGATACGCCGCAACTCTTGTGCAATCCATATCTCCGGGCGCATATCTGCGGGTACAGCCTGAGGCTGCCTCATGGAAGCTGCATCAGAACAAACAGAACAAAAATCACATGGTTTTCCATAAATCAGTTAGCAAGTTCCAAAGGCAACTTTCTAGAAGCAAGCCCATCTCACACACTCCGTTTTGTTTTGTTTTGGGAATCTCCCTAACTTCCAGGACTATGCACTAGATTATGGCGGTAAGGTCTGTCACATAAACTTGGTTATGAAGAATAACGGACAAAGAGCAACTTACTTTTTTAAAACTGGAGACTCAGAACTGCAAAATTAAAAAAATATCCTGGCCAATTAATTACATGCTCCCATTTCAAGAAGATACACTAACACAAAAATGGTACAATCAATATCACCAAAAAAAAAAAAAAAATCATACTTGAAACACAGAACATAAAAATTTAGGCTGTCAGTAAAGTAAATACTTTGATCTTACACAAGGTAGAATTCCTAGGGAAATTTCAAACATCACGTAGAGATACGAAATGAAACGGTTGTCCTATTTAAAGCAAAATATGGGAAAACCTGAGAAACAGCAGGCTACCTACCTGAATGAGCTCCTTTCTACAGAAGGAGGTGACAAGGAGGTGATGAGACAGCCTTTGTAAATACTAGCATGCGGTCAAATTAAAGCAGAAAAACGTGTTTTGTCTCAATATTAATGCAGCCAGTAAAGGTGGAGTCAAGTCTGCAAAGACCACATGGGGAGAGGAAACGTTTTGGGTGAAGGAGCAAAGGCATTTTCGAAAGAAGAAAAAGGAGGGACTTGGCCTCTTCATCAAGTTGCCACTAACATTCACACCCAGTCCGCTCAACTGTTAATGAAACCATCTGAAGCCATGAAGGGGAGCGAAAATGGGAGTCCTCAAAAGATCCCACCATGCACCAGGAAGATGGCATTCTCCATTCTCAGGAAAGACCGGTTCAGCGATGCAACTGGGGAAAAGAGACGAGGCTCTTGGGTTTGTGACTTAACTTACTGAGAAAACAGGCACACGACTCACAATCTAACACGGATGTTATGTCCTAACCATGGGAAAATATTCAAAAGCCTGCAATAATCAGATTTTGCCATGCCATAATACGTATGGCTTTCTGTGTTGTGTTTTTATAAAAATATTTTACATTCTGGGTTTCTGAATTTTCCCGTTTTAAGTAAAAGTGATGGGGATTCATAGGTCTGTAAAAGCACTGAAAAGTGCACTCTGAAAAAATGTAAAAAACGGAGTTTTTACCAGGTCTTCTCAAAACTTTTATCCCATCTTCTTTGTCCCCCCAACCCCCACCCAAATGCAACAATGACCTCACAAAGAGTGAGTGCCTGAGAAGCTGGGCACTAGGGTGTGTGTGTGTGTGTGTGTGTGTGTGTGTGTGTGTGTGTGTCTGAAGAAGAGCACAGAATTATCTGTGCTCTGTGAATAAACCAAGGGAAGACTCCTAAAGAAAGCCCTAGGGGCAAACACGAAGGCTGACCACAGAGAAACTTTTAGGAGAAGTCAGGCATGTCCCCTGAATACACCTGCAACCACATTAAAAACTACTTTGGCTGTATCTTTGCCACACAAATATTTTTATCATTACTCTGTAAAAGCCTATTAAAATTAAGTTTCATTTAAATGGCTTAAAACTGGCAAAATCCAAAATTTCAGGGTGGATGTAATGCCAGGTGGTAATGTAACAGTCTACTCCCTTTTTGGGGGTTTATGACACTTTAAGGATTTTACTCTATCAGAGGTACCCGATCGTTACTATTCTTTTCATACTGTCAGCAATCAAGTATTTTTTCCCCTAACTTCAGAAGCTGTTAAAAAGGTCAACTCACCCCCGAGGGAAAGGAAATCTCTTTTCTTCGAGTGCCGACTACACACCAGAGCCTGCAATGTTTCACGTGAGCTGTGTCATGCAATCCTCTTACCCGGCCCTACAGGGGGAGACACCTGCCCCCATACACAGGCGACCAGACCAGCAAGCAAGACGCCTCATGGCCACTTAACAGCTACCACCCCACCCCTCCTCTGGGCTTCAAAGCCCCACTGGTTTCTTACTGTACAAGCCTCTCTTTACGAGAGTAATCTGCTTGCAGGGGCACCTGTCTATGGCTCAGTCAGTGGAGCATGTGAGTCTTGATCTGGGGGTTGGGAGTTCGAGCCCCATGCTGGGTGTAGAGTTTGCTTAAAAATAAAATTAAGAATTCAAAAAAGGGCAATCTGCTTTCAAACCTAGAGTCAGAAGTGAAGAAAATACCAATTATCCAAAAAAAAAAAAAAAAGTGTGAAATATAGGTTATATGTCTTATAGAGATGGTAGGTCAAAACTGTTGGCAAGTTACCCAATGTTTAATAAATCAAGCTGTTCACGAATATACCCAACAAATACGAATGCCCATATGCTAGGCACCATTCTCGGAGGTGCTCTGGGTACAGCAACCAAACAGGCCAACCCTTGCTCCTGTGGAATTTACATTTTTGTGGATTAAATTTCAACATTTATTATTTCTTTTAATGTTTACTTTGAGAGAGAGAGATAGAGAGGAGAGAGAGGAGAGAGAGAGAGAGAGAGAGAGAGAGAGAGAGAAAGTGTGTGAGCTGGGAAGGGGCAGAGAGGGGAGAGACAGAATCCCAAGCAGGCTCCGTGCTGCCAGCACAGAGCCCGATGTGGGGCTCAATCCCACGAACCATGAGGTTAAGACCTGAGCTGTGATCAAGAGCTGGATGCTTAACCAACTGAGCCACCCAGGCACCCCTCCATTTCAGCATTTAAATGTTAAGTTTCTCTGGACACAGACACTTTTAAGTAAACTTTATACTTATCACAACATGAAACAGAAGTAACTCCCCTGGTTAATTTCCCCCAACCGAAGATGAAACCTACTGCATTCTATTTAACGCCCTTACTATCTGTGTGGTTTAGAAGGTTCTGCCTGGCTGATGCTTGGGCTGGCGACCATCGAAGGAGCCAATTTGTGTCAGAAGTCGGCTTATCATTAAACTAGCACCTGGCCAGCAGCAAAGAAAGAAATCTGGAACCTTGGTGGCCAAGTCTAACTTGTTCACCTTAGAGATAATTGCTCTGCTATATTTTGGGGAAGGAAGCAAAGAAGGTAAGTAGATGTTTCTTCTATGGAAAAGAAAATTTCAGTAGCTCAGATAAACATATAGACACAAACATACCCTCGAGGTGTGTGGCAATGAGATACAGAGGGTAGGTGTGTCTATGGGAGGCCCCGGGGGCCACAGCCCTTACAGGTTCCCTACACAACTCTGGCGCAGATGCTCCAGACTAGACCCTGAGAAAACTGAGCAACGGGTAAGAAACCACAGGGAGTTCCTGGAGGCAGAAGTAACCAAAGATTATGGATTAGACCAGGGTAAGCATGCACTAACTGGCCAGAACAACAGATTAGTAAGAGAGCTATCTAACTGTAGTTAGGTGTATTTTTTTTTTTTAACATTTATTTATTTTTGAGAAAGCATGAGTCGGGGAGGAACACAGGGAGAGGGAGACACAGAATCCGAAGCAGGCTCCAGGCTCCGAGCTGTCAGCACAGAGCCCTACGTAGGGCACAAACCCCCGAACCGTGAGATCATGAACCTGAGTTGAAGTCGGATGCTTAATCAACTAAGCCACTCAGGTGCCCCTATGTGTATTTTTTTTTAAGTTGACTTAGAACAGTAACAATAGGGTATAATTCAATAATAGCAATATAATTTAACTTTTGCCAAGGAGACTGATCCGCCTGGGCTACTCTAACACAGCATGTGTCACCATTTGGCTTTTAAAAAAAACTGGCAGTGTTTGTTTTTGTTCCTTACATCTATAAATCTAAAATTAATGACCATCACTCGTCCTGCAATAAAACCTACCTAACATGTACACAGAATAGACCGTTACTATACTAAGATTATTTAAGACAGAAATCCTATTTTGAATATTTTAAAAGGCATTGTATTCCTGTATTTTAAAAGGGCAGTCTTTTTCAAAAAATTGTTATTAATTAATTAATTTATTTAAAGAGAGCCAGAACACGCACATGCTCATATAGGGGAGGGGCAAAGAGGGAAGGAGAGAGAAATTCCCAAGCAGGTTCTGCACTGTCCACAAGGAGCTCCATGCGGGGCTCGAACTCACGGAACAGCGAGATCACGACCTGAGCTGAAATGAAGAGCCGGACACTTAACCGACCGAACCACCCAGGTGCCCCTAAAAGGGTAGTCTTAATCTCAGTTAACAGAGTGCAGTTTTCCAATATAAATTTCAAAGATTATTTTTGAAGTGACAAAAATATCTTCTTTTTCTTTGGGGGGGGGTGGTAGAAGAAGCTTTTCTTAATTTCATCACTGGTTTAATCTTAGTGACTGTCACAATTGGTCTGTTACACGAGAACCCACCAGAACGGAAGAATGGGGTCTGGCTGACCCCAGAGAATTGGTTTGTTAGCCCTACGGCAGTGCTGGTCAGAGCTCAAATTAATTTGCTTCATTCTGTGCTACCGTCACCCTGAGCATGAACCACCACAATGAAGAGATCCACAGTATGGTTTTCCAAAGATGCCCCTGGAGCAGGTGGGGCTTGGGGGCAGGGAGTAACTCAAGAAAACATGCTGCTCTACCCCCACTCTCCTAATCCTATCCAGGTGCTGACCTGACTATTCCCATTATAGTGAGATAGTCCACCTATGAAAAAGATAACTTACATTTACACTTCTAGTCTATAGTATCGAGGATACATATTTTACTTTCCCATGTGTGTCGTGCTTCGCAACTATAAATGTTGATAGCTGATCAATAAAATGGGTCTTTATTTGAAACAAAAACTCTTAGTACTAGTTAAGAAGATAAAAATTTTAACTTCTAGGGCAATTGTACATGAACATAAAAAATTCTCCAAAGGGGAAATTCTGGTGAGGTGTTATTTTTTTTTTAAACAATTTTTTTAATGTTTATTTTTGACAGAGAGAGAGAGAGAGACAGACAGACAGAGCATGAGTGGGGGAGGGGCAGAGAGAGAGGGAGACAGAGAATCCGAA